GGGAGGGGGGCTGAGCTCCGGCCACAAGCGTGGGGTGGAGAGGGAGACTCTACTGGGGGGCCCAGGAGGGTGGGTTTTGCTCTGCTGAAAGAGGTCTCCACCCTGGGGCTCTCTCTGCTTCCCCGCATTGACCTGGGTGTAGAAGATCTTGGGAGAAAGCTGGTCCCGGGGCACAGAGGCAGCACCGGGAGAGATGGAACCGGGAGAGATGTAACCCCCGCTCCTCCCGTTTCCAGGCACCTCTGAAGGGGACAAGAAGACTGAGAAGAGCCCAACAGATGACAAGGTAGCCATCATCCTCCCCTTACACCCCAAAGGCCCCCAGCAGTGTGGGGAGGGGCTGCAGGGATCTCCCCGCTGGGCTATCGTCAGCCTCTCCGGGGCCCCGAATCCCTCTTGCTTTCCTCCTCGCCCAGAACAAGAAGCCACAGCCAGGGATTCGTGGTGGCTATCTGCAGTCTCACTATTTTGTGGCACTTTATCGCTTCAAAGCCCTCGAGAAAGACGACCTGGATTTCCCGTAAGTTCCTGTCCACGTAATAGGCACAGGGGTGACGAGGGGAAGGATATGGGGTGTCCCGTGGGAAGGGGGACAAGTCATCAACAGTGAGATTCTCATGGCCAGGAGGCTTCTATGACTGAACGAGCGCAGAAATTCCCGCCAGGCTACCTGTGGTTTGGCGTTTGCGGCTCTTCTGCCTGTCCCAGAGGGCTACACATTGAGCGGGGGCCCTGGTTCTCGCTGAGCCAGCTCTGTCTTGATGCTCTTCCACTGATTTCTTGTACTCGAGGCTGAGCTGCTCACGCACAGGACATGTCTGTCCCCGAGCCCATGGGCTGTGTGCATTCCTTGACCTCACCTGACTTAGGTCTCTACGAGCTGGTGCTGTGGGGAGATCGATTTTCCTTGCCAGTCTCAGGCTCTCCCACGGCAGGTGGTCCCTGCTCCCCTCTCACTGAGCCCTTCCTTCCCTTTGCAGTCCAGGGGAGAAGATCACCGTGGTCGATGACTCCAATGAGGAATGGTGGCGGGTAAGGCTGGTGTCCTACAAGCACAGAGGGGAGAGATGAGAGAGCTGAGCTGGGAGTGCAAACTGCACTCTAAGGGGGACACAGACCCCTAAGTCCGCTGTGTCCTCATGCCAACCCACAAGGTCTTTGTCATGGGGGGAGTCGTACACATTGGCTCCAACCCCCACCGGCTTCTTTCAGGGGAAGATCGGTGAAAAAATTGGCTACTTTCCTCCAAACTTCATCATCCGGGTGCGGGCAGGCGAGCGGGTGCACAAGGTGACACGCTCCTTCGTGGGCAACCGGGAGATCGGGCAGATCACGCTCAAAAAGGATCAGGTGAGACGGGACCACCCGGTCCCCGCCTGCGGTCCACCAGCC